CAGACCATGTATGCAATAGCATCAAGGCAGGCAACATGAGCTCACTAGAGAAACAGTGGCAAATCTATCAAGATGGTAACCTACCACCATCTGATTGGATTTGGTGTGTGCTCTACACAAGGGCTTTCACATCTGGTATTGTAAACATGATCAGTAGGCCATAGCTGGGGTAGGGAGTCATAGGCTTTAGTGACAAAGCTATGACTGTCATTTTGCTAAATGATCATGATGTGTCTCTCAAATTACATTCCAAATAACAATGCTATACACACAGAAGAGTGTTGCCATCACCTTTGGTCAAAGAAGCATATTTATTTTTGTCGGTGGTGACTTTTAATAGGTTATAGCACTGAGAATAAATGATTTCGGAAACCCACTCATAAGTGAGACACCTATATTATCATGTTCCTCCTCCACCTCACTCTGCCCCAGTGTTCATGGAACATTGCAGAAGATGTGGAGAGAACAAAGAGTGGAAGCATCAGAGGAAGACAGGGACAGCAGTGTGGACCTCTGACTTTTGATAGTTACACATCTACTGTACTCCTGAATTCACAACCAGTGTGAAAATATACACAAGGTCTGCATAAGGTTTGATCTGTAATCACTATGTAGTGGAACTGGGAAGGGTAGGCTCCACCCATCTTTGAGAATGAGTAAAAAGTTACTCATTCATGAGGGAAAGATATTTTCTTCACATGTGCTCTTGTGATCAAAGTTAATGAAACTTATTAGGTCATCAAAAGTAAAGGAAGAAGAAGAAAAGGCATGAAAGAAGAACACGAGCAAATTGGGAAGAAATAGAGAAAGAATTAGTGAGGCAGGAGAGATAGTGTGTATGTGTGTGTGTGTATTTGTATATGCATGTATATGTGTGTGTACCTGTGTGAATGTGTGTGAATGTTATTCATTATGAAATATAATGAAATGTTATTGTGTATAGGTAATATATAATAATAAAAAGCAAAATGCTTCAAAAGTATAATCTCAGTTGATTCTCAAGACAGCTTTGAAAGAGCTATTATCATCAACCCACTTCACAGATAAAGAGACAAAGAGAAGGTGAATGACTCATTTGGTATCATGAGCCTAGACAGAATAAGAGCCAAGATACTAGGGCTCTTTTTTTCTCGTCTTCTGTTCTTCCTATGACTTCAATCTACTTGGTGGGCTCCTCAGAATGATTCTAGACAATGTATGTTAAGAACTTAGCATTGGAACTAGGCCATAATAATCCACCATAAATTTCAGTCATTATTAATAATTTGTAGAAATAGCTAAATAGCATGGTGTAGCTTCATTAAATAATTCATATAATTCAGTTTCTTCCTCAACTTTCAAGGTCAAATTGTTGATGATGCCTCTCTTACAAATATTCATAACTATTGACTTAGAACTTATGCCACAGAAGGCAGTTTGCTCAGTCTTATAAGCCTCAGACAGCTCTGCCCTCATAGACTTAGAGTAACTAAAAGCCAGAGAACTACACCACAGAGCAATTCAGCCAGAGATCAGCCGTTTGGCACAGGTCATAACCACCTTTTATCTCCCATAACTATTTGTGGACTGGATCAGCAGTGGGTCTGAGCAAGTGCATATCAACATGAGGAACTGGATGTCACTATTCACCGCTAGGAGCCTTTTTATTTTGCATTGTACCTAAGCTAAAGAAAGTCTTTTGGCCCAGACACAGAGCAACAAATGCCATATGATCTTAGTTTTATGTAGAATCTGAAAAATGTCAAGCCCACAGAAACAGAGAGTAGAGTGGCGGTTGCTAAGAGCTAGGCGTAGGAGAAATGGGGTGATGTTGTTAGAAAGATAGACTTTCCAGTCATAAAATGAGCAAGTTCTGGGGACTTACTGTGTGTCATGATTAGTGATGAATATGTTAAGCAATTTGCTACTAACCATTGCATAATGAATATGTATAACCCAACATCATATTATATACCAGTAATACATGCAATCCTATTAATTGCTAGTTAAATTTCCTTAAACAAAAATTAATAATACTTTGCAAACATTTGAAAAACATCCGTGCACCATTTTCGTTGTCATTCAGCCCAGGTGTGAGGAAGCTTCTCCAGAATTCTGCATTTCTGGGTTTAATTTGGGCTTTTCAGATCAAAGCACTAACATCTCCCCCAAGCAACACTATTTCCCACTCTGTCTTTCTGCTTAGAATCCTAGCCCGTGATTTAAAAACAACAACCAGACCAAAAAATATCTCACCAAGACATCATTATTCTAGCTAATCCCTAATCATGTATTTTCTCCCATTTGTCTCTCTTGCAGCTTCTCTTTCATGTCACATGGAGTCCAAATGCTAATTCTGTCCTCTGGCAGGCTGATTCCCATTCTGCTTATTGCTTCTCCTTCCTTTCATTATTGCCACAATAATTAAGCTGTCCACAAGTGTCCGTGTCATGTGAGAGTCCATTCCCAAGAAAGCAAAGAGATGTAATTGCTGTTTACTTGCAAATACAGAGTACAATAAACATGTGGTCCAGAAAAGTGGCTACTTCTGAATCTTCACATTTCCATTCCATCTTACCCTCTCTACTTTTTTTTTGCACGTCAGCATGCCTGGTAAATAGCCTTATGTTTTTTGTCCACCAAATCCCACTACAGGGGACATTGCTGAAATGCCACCAGTTGCTTCATAGAGTCAAGGCATCATAACACAAAAAGAGTTCATGGCTTGGAAATTAAGCTGCTACTGTGTGTCAGACACCCCCCCCCCAGAGGTTTCACACGCATCATCTCAGTTATCCTTTACAGTGATTCCTAGTGTCTGTAGAGTTACAAGGTGGAATAACTGTAATGTAAGCCCAGATCTGCCAGATGCTAAGCATCCCCCAACTTTACACCAAGAGTCAGGATGGAGAATAAGGTAGAGAGAAGGTAGAGGGGAGTGAGCAGATCAAAGTGATGTATTGTGACCAGAGCATCTTCACCACTAACTTATTAAACAATTGTCTACAAATGTAAAATATTTGCTGTGCATAGTGTTAATGCAGAAGACTGATTTCTGACCCAGAGAAGTAAGTTTGGCTAAGGGAACTAGAATCTTTTAGGATCAACTTCAGCCCTCCCCTGTAATGATATATATATATATATGTATATATATATATATATATACATATATATATATATACATATATATATATATATATATATATATACATGAGTTAGGGACTCAGGCAATGGGCGGGGCCTGCGGCATAGGGACGACTTCCTAGACTTTTGCTGTATGCAGTATGTGGACATTCACAAGCTGCTGGAGAGGAATGTCATAATAAGCAGTGGTTAAGGCAGACAAGTATCACGGAGGTGGGCTAATGGAGAAATGCTCAGGCAAACTGTGTGGTTCAGAAGACTGCAGGGTAAATACAAATACAAGCAATGACTGAGAGATAGGAGATGGAGAAAGGTGGTTTTGATCATGTGATAGAGCCAAACATTAGGAAAAGAATAGGGAACGGAAATGAATCACTTTCAGGGAAGGAGATGTTGGAAATACAGGATACAGAGCTGTCAGAACACGTGACTGTGCTGTGTAGCATGAATTACAGGGCTACTACAACCATTACATTTATTCATGTGCATGGATTTGACAGGTGATTTTTGTCATGAATATGGAGTAGGGTAACTGGATTTTACTATGATTATGGAGTATGATATTTTTTGATAAAAAGAGAAGTGATAGATATAAAGGCTATATCAGAACTTAATCAGAGTCTTGAGGTCCATGGAAACAAAAGATATCACCTAAAAGAACACAGAGCTTCAGGAAAGAGGGAGGCAGGTATATCAGAACAGGCAGAAGCTAAAACACAGGGCAGCTGGCATAAAGACCAATGTGTCCCTCTGTTGTATATCAGTAATACTGGGGCCAGATATTAAGCAAAGGGCTAAAGGATCAGATAGGAAGGCAAAATGAAAATATCCTCACTCCCATTTTCATAAGTAATAACACAAAGGGGCAAAGGGCATCCTTGATTTGGTAACATAACAATTGCTGCAACATGATTTGAAACAGGATATTCTGATAGTCAGACCAAGGCTTACATGACAAGACTGGGGATGCTTTCTCAATGCTCCCTGGATGGACATTTGGTGTTGGGGAGAAAGGGGTGCAATGTTGGAAAAGCTCTTCTGGATCTGTACTCTTAAGCACAAACTAGATAACATGTTGTAATGGTCAGATTTGACTGCAATCTTTCCTTCAAACTAAGAAGTGAGATTTCAAGCAAGGGAAAGAAGCTTTTGTATCCTGAAACCATTAAGCCACTTTTAGCAGTTATATGCCATATTGAAGTACTTAAGTAGAACAAACTTAATAAGCTCTGATTCTATGGAATGAAATTTCTAGTGGAATCAAGGAGTAAAAAAAAAAAAAAAAATCCATGGGCTTATAATTGCACTTTGCGGAGCTGCCTCTAAATTTTCAGGGAAAATTTTTATTTTTGGTTTGCTGTCTCTCACTTCTCTGTCTCTGAGGATGAGAGTTTCCAATGTTTCATGTAAAGAGTAAGGTGTACTCTTTCTGGGCAGCAATGCCAGAATGCCTTGGGAACTTCTCAGGCCACTATGAAACTGGTGAACCTAGATGCTGGTACCAAACAGACATATGTTCAAAATCCTTTGCAACTTAGAACTCTAACACAAAATATATACACCAGGACACTCAATGAATCAAAACTGCTGTTGCTAAACATTGTTTCAATCTTTAAAGGGAGAAGTAACAGCACATGAATGAACCATAGGACTTCTGACTTCAAAGGCAAAAATCCCATCTTGCTGTCAAATTTGAATTCATCTGCCAACTTCTCATGAATATCTGGAGACATAAACTTGATAAAAAAAAACCTATGACTATTGCTAAAATGGTATTATACATGTCATTTTCTAGGACTTTTCACTTCTCTGTTCTTTATAAAACAGCCTAATATATAATGAATTAATAAATAGAAATTGTAGAATTTGGGTCTTACCATTTTTGTCTGCTCTCCTCAGGATCTGGAAAGAAAAAGAAGAAAAATGTTACCCTCTTTTTCTGCTGTGCTAGAGCTTAACTCACTTGCCTAACATATGTGTACCCCTAGGCTGAGTTTCCAGGATTAGCAGAAGAAAAAAAGAAAGAAATTTTTGTTCCTAAGTATTGCAATGAGTGCTATATATACACATAAATTCATATACTGCTAAACAAATAAAACTCTTATGTTAAGTGAATCTTTTCCAACTGAGACCTTCCTTTTTAAACAGTCCCTCATCTGGAAACAGACCAAATATCCATTAACAGCTTAATTGGTAAACCAAGTGTTAGATCACTACAATAAAGAACTAGTGGGCCAAATATTTAAAAAGAAACAACTATCAAAAATATTTTACATATAAAACTTTGGTTATATCTTAACATGATTAAGCTAAGTAGAAAACCTAGACACAAAAACATCCCTCTGTATAAGTCCCAGTATATACAGTTTTAATTGCACAATAATATTTAATGACAGAAAGTAGATCAATAACTGTCTAACAGTTGTTGAGGCTGATAGCTATGGATTATAAATATATATCGGAGAACTGTTGAGGGTAATAAAAACATTAAATTATCTCATATATAATTGTTTCATTGTAGAAGGCAAGAGTGTTCACAGATCAGCACTGGAGAAACTGAGAATGTTAACCAAGAAGGAGTGTCTCCTCAAGGAAAGAAATGTATATCTGCTTCCTACCCAAAGGGCTGGGAGTGGCTGTTGTTAATAACCTGGTGACCTTTGCTATCTGTAGAGCCAGGCCTTACACAAATCCCTTAGAATGTTTATTCCAGACTCTTTCTCCCTAGACCTTATCATTAGCTTTGCTTCTCAGTCAACTGAATTCATCCTTAGGGAAGATGTCACATGTACTTTATAGTCAGCTGACCTCTGCACTATCTCAGTCAGAGACCATACCAGATCCCAGGTAAAGGGATAATTGTTATCAGAAAACTTTTATCCAAATTGTACTGTACTTAAATTTGTCTAAAGCGATCTAGCCTGTTGTCAAACTCTAGAAGTTTCAATAAGCCTGGCTAACTACGTCATACTGAACTGAGTTTTCATCCATGCCTCTCTGCAGATTGTTTTGTTGTCAGCTGTGACATTTGCAGGAACTGTCACATTTCATATGTTAAAACTCAACAAGCTTATATTTTAAATGTATGCACTTTAAATTAGTTGACACCTCAATAAAATGGGAAATAAAAGCAAAGCAGAAAAATACCAAATGATCAGTAAATAGGAGCCCATACATCTATTCTGTATATTACTTGGCTGTAGTAATAGTATTAATTTGGACCCTATTTATGGTGTATAGACGTACAACGATTCTTTGGCCATCTGGGATTCCTTACTCAGTGGCAATATTTTCTAATTGTTTTCCTGGGACAGTAGTCTTTCCTCTACTTTTGGTTTCTATGCTTAAGGGCTGAGTAGAGCATTCAGGCCCTGACGGAGTATCACATCTCTCTGACAATGATGTTTGATGAGTCAGGAACACCTTAGGGCCAGTCAATAACAGACTATACTTGAGCAGTTAGGAGAAAGAAACACTTTGCTTACTTGGGACTTAAACATGGAAAGATACATGCTGTGGGTTGAACTGTGTTGTTGTTTTCCTGAAAACAGGTGTTGAAGCCCAAGTTTCTTAGTAGCTATGAATGTGACCTTATTTGAAGTTGGGTCCTTCTTTGGTGTAATCAGACAATGATGAGGTATGGACCTTAATGTGATGTCCTTCTAAAAAGATAACAATACAGAGACACTCTCAACACTCCAAAAAGCTGTATTAAGACATGTGGAAGAACCAACTGCTGCTCTCTGAGCAGCCTGGAGAGTCTCTAAGGAGATAAGCTCAGCTGCTTATTACAAAGGCCAACACACTACTATATACTTATGTGGGACTGTGTAAGGGTATTCTGGGTCATGGTTGGGCAGTTGCCTAGAACCCCAAGACTCTGCGTGAGAACCAGCAGGAGTTCGGTGCACCCCAAGAACCCAGGGTCCTGAAAAGCAGTCCAGTCTCCATAAAATTCAGTCACGTACGCTGGCCATTACAGCCCCTGTCAAAGTGCACAGGTAGAGGGCGTAACTATAGGCCTCAGGCTCTAGGGATTTACATACTAATGAAGGCCAGAGGGCAGAGCAAATTAAGCATGCCTCCCCAGATTCTCCCCCGATCCTCCCCCAATCCTCCCCCTTTCTCCCTCCCTATTTAACTCGGGACTGGCCTGAGTTTTACAGGGGTACACCTAGATTCATCCACCATCTGCTATGACAATAAACCTTTCTGGAACCAAGGACTTCCTCGTGTCATTGGGGCCTGCCGCTGCCAAAGCCTCCAGGCCGCTGGAACCATAGATGTTCCTCCTGCATGTGGAACCAGCTGCAGCGTGAAAACCCACTGGGACTCCACCGATTCGGTCTGTAAAATTTCCCCACATACTTAGACCTTGAACAGTTTTTGATTCTTTCTTTCTGTTAGGAGCAATCCAATTAACCCCATGTGATGTAGGAAGCGGCAGAAGTCTAACTGAATGACATAATGTGTTGCGTACACACCTGCAGAGAATGACCATCTATAGTACTGCAAATGCAAACTTTAATTATATGAAAAGATCCCTTGGGGTTCTTGTTTTTCCTGAGTAAGTTTTAATTATAGCTAAATAACCAGAATAATCCTCATTTTTGCATTGGCGCTTCTTGGTGAACAGATTAAAGCACAGCCAACTGTTTTTCATTATTACTTTGGTTATTTTTCTTCTTTCTATCACAGAAAAAGGATCCTCCTTTCATTATTTTGACTTCAACAAGTGAGGTATAAATAAATATACTTTTTACCAAAATGTTTTATATTATAAATAGCAATATTATTTCTAACAAATCTCATCTATGAAACTTTCCCAGCAACATATGGGTACCACTCTAATCATCAAACTTAAATCAGCCTTCTATTTCACAGAATAAACTTCATTATTATGAGAAGATGAATTTCAGTGGTAAGGGATCTACTTAGAATGGACTGACTGATACTACATTCTGGAGTGGTTGCTGGTAGAAACTTTGAAGATCCGTTCTTCCACTGGAGCTTCTTTCTGTCTCCCAAAATTGAAAAGCTACAGCCAAGTCAGGGAGGCATGAAACACTTTCCATCTCTGGTCTTTGATTGATCCTGAGGTTTGAGTTTTGAATTCTATTGTGTCCTCACAAGTGGGAAATGCCTAGAGTGGAAACAACCACACATCTAAAAGTGGACCCAAGACTTCCATCATCATGCCATGTAAACAACAACCAGGAGTAGCACTCAGATTCTCAGAGATGAAATTAAGATAGTAACTCATAATAATAAACTCCTGTAATTAAATATGGATAGAATTGCAAACTGCAAATTTTGCCTCTGAGCTCACAATTAAAAATAAAAAGCACTGTCGATGAGAATGGAGCTCAGTATGTAGTGTTACTACAGCCTGCTAATCTTCACAGCTGCCCTCACTAGGCATAGTAAATACATTTAAATATGTGAAGGCAGGAAGCTTAAATATGAAGAAAACTATACTTCACTATAATTTATGGATTATCATACAGCTTCCTTATTATCTCCAAAGTTATTCTTTGATATCCATAAGTGAAATTCCTCACTTTAAGTTATTGAGGGCAGATTTTAAATGTAAATGTTATCTTGAAAGCATAAAAATGTTACTATTCACTGGACTAACAAGAACCCCAGAACAGGACTCAGGTTACAATTCAGGATAAGATGGATTGTCAGTCACTTGGTGGGATCTTGGGATGTTCAGAATTAATTTGTAGTTCATAGGGAGCATAAACTTATATACAGAGGAAAATAACAAGGAGTTGAGTCCTGGTGCACAGTCCTGGGTGCTCAATAAATAGTTTGATCACCACCATGGGTTGCCCTCAGGCTGCTGGGAAGTTGGCACTAGAAAACACATGACTAAAATGTAATCAGTAAATTCTATTCCATTCTTCTCAGTGTTGCCCAGGGTAAGCCCTATGCGGAAAGGGATGGCAAAAGCCATTCTTGTTTAGCCTTTTACTTGATATTTTCCGAAACATACAATTGCATTCAAATAGTCCAGCGTGCATGTCTGACTGAGCAAGATAGAAGATGTGTAGCAATAGCATAAATCAAGTATAGACTCATGATGTTGGAAAGCCCTTTCTGCTCTGACAATCCTCCATCCGTGCCACTTCTCACACAAATAAGCATGTGCCAAGCCTCAGAATCAAAACCTTTTAGAAGGAGAAGCTACTACTCATTTTTACCAAGTTCTGACCTTCCAGGCCAAGTGCTTTGCACGTGCTCTTATACATAGATGGAGGAGTGGGGGAGATGTCAACTTGTAAAGCCATGACTTCATTTTCTGACATTCCAGCTTTAATCCCCCATTACAAGCAAAATGGAGAAGGTCCTGTTCCTTCTCAATTAAAAGTAATGAGAGGCAGGAAGTGTGGTTTAGAGATAGAACATCTGCCTAGCATGCACAGGACCCTGGGTCAGATGCCCAGCAGAGAACATAAGAAGAGCCAAAGGAAATCTATTTGAAGAGGACAGTGCCATTGGATGGATAGAGATGCAACCCATTTCTTTTGGAATTTATCTTGCATCAGGAGCAGAATGGAAGATTTTTTTTTCCCCTCACTGTGCAGTAGCAGACTAGATTAATCAAAAGAGTATCTGACTACTCCAGGGACTCACATTTTAAATGTAACTTTATTCTCCATTATCTGGAATGAAGCAACTTGGGAAAGTATAGCAAGATAGTGGAAAAGGAATCCAATTGTCAGTTTTCTGATCCTTCTGTGTTGCTGTATACTGGAGCCCGTTCTGGTCCTGTCCCAAGCCTAGCAGATGTGTCTTGTCTAAATATGCCCAGCATAGTGTGCCAGTATGCATGGGTAGGCAGCACTCAGGAAAGGTCTTCTTCTTACTCTCAGTAGGTATTCACAAATAGTTATGATAAGGTGATATATTATTGTGACTCTTTGGGGGAAAATAATAATATTATTATTATATGTGGTTCCTTTGTGAATTTGGCTAAAGCTATTCTACTTATGAATTTGTGAATATGTACATGGATATACCATAGTACTTCAAAAGTACATTTCATGTGTCCCTTTTTTCTTTGTTCTTTATATTGTCACCCCATAATGACAACATGGCACCTGCTGAATATAAATAAAAAAAAATGAAATGAAAGACAAATGATTCTACAAAATCTGATTTTCATGTTAAGTCAATTGTTTATCTCTAGTTTCCAATCGGCTTGCTGGGCCTAGTCATATCCTCAACAGCATCCTCAAATGGGGTTCAAGTAGACTCCCTAAGAAATATAAAGATTTACTGTCCCAATGATACTTGAATATAAATGAGATTTTTTTCTTATTCTTATTGGGAGATTCAGTTCTTTTCCAAAATTGAAAATTCGTCTATGAGGTGCAAGTGGTCTCATGTCTTTTCAGATCTGGAACAGGGAGAATCTACCACCTGTTCCTTGTGATCTGAATAGAATTAAAAAAGCAATCATTCTTAGCATCGCTGCTAGAATAAACGAAATAAATCTAATCAAATCAAATGATGTATTTATGTTTCACATTTTGCTTTAGCTAAAACCGACATGATCCAGAAATGAATAATTCAGAGGCCTCTAAATAACCAACCCTTTTTCATGTCACACAATTCACCAGAGTGTTACATTTTTCACAAAATAACTCAGAAACGTGTAAACAACATATTTTCTATCCAAGAAAAAGAACTCAATTGCAGTTAATCTTTTTTTAAAACTATATTTCACAGAGAAACAGGCATGTTAACGCCTCTCTTGTGGAATCAGGTTGGTTTGTTATTTTCTTTTTAGTTCTGGAACTAGACTTAAGAAGGTAAGGGAGCCAGCCCTGTTTCTAGATGAAAGTTCCATCAGGACAGGGGCCTTGCATTGTTTATAGAACTTGGGAACAACTGCACATATATAATAAAATGAGATTTAAAATCTCGCTTTTAAAAACCTGCAGTTGAACACTTGAGCTTAGCATGGTAAGTCTGTATGGTGGCTTTCTTTGCTCTTACCTGGTTTCAGCTTATTCCTCATCAGGGAATCAGCGGGATTTGTTAGAGGCATGAGATAAAAGCACATGGTAGTGCTCAGTGCCCTCAGAGGGCAGAGCACAGATTGGGTCCTAAGGAACAGAGGTCCCACTTGGCCTCAGAATTAACTTCTTGGTGGATTAGTGTTCTTCCTCATAATGGTCTGGATGAGCAAGATCCTGATTCCCCCCATCCTGGGATTGCCTGCCCGTGTGTGTGCTGCCTTATCTTTACATTGACCCAACCTAGTTCCTGCACGGCAGGGCATGAATAAATAGTTAGAGCATAGACTGAGCCTATGTAGAGAATTTTTTTTCCAAGAAAAATAAACTATAACAATTTGATGCAGCAAAAAGTGGAAATCGTGTTTTCATGAGGAGAAAATGACTAACCCCCAAAGCCTGAATCTCGAGTTGGCTCTGCATGGTGATGTGGGGAAAAGGCTACCAGGAGGTGGGGTTGAAGCTTCGATTAAGTGTCTCATACAAGTTTTAATTATTGATATGGTTCTCCTCCAATTAAAAAAAAAGTCTAGATAATTCATTCACGACAAATAGAGGACTCCTTGCCCCTCCCCCATCATCTTCAAACTCCCTCACTGGCCATTATGATAGTTGTATTTGCTGTCCTCATATTTTCATTTTTTTATAATCAAGTGTTTTTAGCCTCTGGCCCACCTCCTACACGCTTGGACTTTAATAAGGAGTGATGGCTTAGAGAAGGGGAGGGGCAGAGACAAACAGGGCTTCTTGGCATGCTTTGCCCATTTTCCATCATGCTAAACAAGGAGAGGCTAGAACTGTCCCCACTGAGCGAGCCAGACACTACCTAGGGGAACAGAGTGAATTTGACATGTGAACAGCAGCAGCAAAGAGAGCCAGAACCCAGAAGGCAAGCAACCCAGGGACAGGCGAGCCAGGGAACCTAACAAGGGAATCCGGTGAGAAACACAGAGAACTGAAACATCAGGAACAAAGCAAAGCAGAATGGAGGAGCAAATAAGATCTAAAACTGTTATAGAGAAAGCATGAGGGTAGAAAATAGCACAGAAAGAAAAGAACGGTCATGCTAGAGCTGCGGAGGAAGGAAGTCAGTTCCCAAGCAAGGAATGGGACCAAAGGGAAAACCGTCAAAAACTAGAAGAGAAGGTTAATGATAGTAATTACAACTTAGGCACGAGGAACAGAATAATAGGGAAGGGAGCGGGCACCAAAAGGGAAGAAGAAAATCATTATCATAAAAGAGACCTTGGCTACTGTTGTAAAATAAAAAGCAAATATGTTCAAAGAGATGGTTTTTAGAGGTAGCTGGGAGCAGCTGGAGAAGCATCACAATGTCTAAGGCTTCCATCAGCGCTCCCCAGCACAAGGGAGAGTGCCTGCCAGCAAATCGGGCAGCAGGGTGAGTCCTGAATCAATGGGAGACTCTACAGCCCAGGCAGAAGCCCTAGGTGCTGGGAAGTGTAACTTTTGGGGCTCCTTAATGCTTATAATCAAAGCTGTAGGTCTGGGACAGGTCTTTACAAGTTGGATGGCAGTCCTCCCTCTGGCATTTATTTGCCTAGGGTCCTGTGGGGGACAGTAGGTAGGAGATAGTTTGGGCAGAGGCCAGCCGCTGCTCCCGACCCTTCCTCTCTCCCCTCCTCTCTCACAGCGGTGATGCCTAAGGCGCCTACCTAACTACTTCGTTTATACTTACGTCGAGGAAGATGGACATGCCCTTGGACAGCTGCAGGGTAGAGCTGAGCTCTTCCGAGGAGTTGTTGGAGGATGGTGAGGTCTCCCGGGAATCCTCCATCCTCAGCGGTCCTGGCGCCGGCAGGCAGGCGGAGACTGGGAGGGATGCAGCGGCTCTGACCTGGTGCTGTCTCAGCTGCTGCCTCCCCGCGCCACGCCACCGGGGTCGGACGCGAGTGGGTGTTCGCTCGGCGCGCGCCTCCCTCCTCTCAGCGCGGACTCTCCTCCCTCTCCCGCCTCTAGGCTTCAGCACGTTAGCTTTCGCCGCCCCCTTCCCGTGGCTGACTGCACCTCACTGGGGATCCGACTCATCCCAGCACTTAGCAACAATGTAACTCCCCTTGCCAGTGAGCATTCCCTGCCCTGGGCAAGCCCTTAGTCACTTGTCAAAGGTAACCTTCCGGACCCTGCTGAACTGGACACTTTACAAGACAGACCAGACAAAGCTTTGTCCTGAGCAGCAGAGGAGCGAGGTCAGAAGCACTGAGGGAAAATCATGAGTGGAAAGAAGGAATCCGAGGTTTGTCTACTCCACCCTTGATGGAAACAGAATTCTGCCCCCACGCCCCAAGACACACCCAACTTGATTCCTTCCTGGAAAGGATGGCTAGTTCAGTTTGGAATTAAGGCACTGGGTTTGGCCATCTGCCTTACTTGATTTTTTTATCTTGTGATCTAGCAAATTGCTAAATCTTTAAGGTTTAGTTTTTATGAATCTGAAAAATGATCACCAGAGTGGTACTTAGCTCATAGTTCCAATGCTTGCACAAGTGGCACTATCAGGTGTGGGAGGGGGAGGCAAGCTAGGCTCATCACAGACTAAATGTAGGGAGATAATTTGCCTTGCACCAGTGATCCTGGCCATGAGCCTTCCAACATTGTGGATTCTGGTGTTTCCACTTCCCTACCTCCAGGCTGTTCTGTATCTAGTGTTTACAAAGAATGAGTTTGGTTGATTTCAACCCTGGCTGAATGTTGGAGTATGTGTCACTTAGAGTGTGTGTCAACTTCAAAATGTCCTAACATATGAATTGTCATTCTTTCTGCAGGCTCTTTTCATGCCTAGACCTCAAAGATTGTGTTTTCTGAGCCAGAATACATAAAAGGCCTTACAGTTGCACTCTTCCAATGGTGCATTTATTCCTTCTAGAAGTCAGGAACTTCTACAGAGGAAGTTTGATGGTTTTAAGCCACTATACTCTGAGAACACCCAAGATTTATGGAATGTGTAAGTTGTCATCTGACTGAGAGATCCAACTGAGCAATACCTTGCTCTCACCCGAGAATAATTACCATCAGCAGAACTGTCAATAACGATGCCTCCAGAAGATTTCAGCTTCCAGCTCCTTGAGACAGCCCTAACTATATGAGCAGTCCCAGTCTAAACCCCAAGCATCCCAGATATCCAGAAGGATCCCAAGATGGTAAGTGCTGTTCCCTACAGAACTTAAGAGCACAGTAAAACAGTCATTGCATTCTACAAACGTTTTCAGCATCAACTTGGAGCAGGCAGCCTAAATAAAGAAAAGTACTCTTCCCACAAAAGCAAAACAAAAACAAATTAAGGCCTGTGTTTCACTTCTGGATTCATGTTCAGCTAGCATGTGGTTGTCCTTGGCCGTATTTTTTTTCAGAGCTTCTCAAGCAATCCTGATGAGCCCAGAATTAATAAGCACTTAAAGAAGAAGAGCTACAGAAATTAGGCAGAGGCCAGTGACCTCAGACCTGTAAAGTCCAGGGATAAAACACTGAGTTTCATTAAGTCTGGGGTCACAAACATGACACTTGATTAGGGGAGCTATTGATTGGAGCTGTGCTTTGACGGCTATTTGTCTTACATCTTCGTGTATTTACACCTTATTAACTGTTTTTTTTTAATATGAACAACTAGAATAGATTCTTTCCTTTGACAATTGCGTATCAAAAAGAAATGGAAAATCACGAAAAATCCAGCCAACCTATCAAAGAAATACTGATCATCAAATCACACAGAAGCAAGAGAGATGTTGGCAATGAGTGTTATCAAGTTTACAAAAACACCATGTTTGTTCGCACTGTTGACTGAGGAATTTATTTATTACCAGTAAGTAGAGCCTAAGTCTGGGCTCTCTAACATATGTGGGTCTCTCTGCCCTCATACTCAGCCTTGTGAACTTAAAATGCTTGTGCTGCTCCCATGGAAACAATGCTAAGTGAAAAAGGAGATTTTCTTTGATCACAAATGAAAACCAGGAAAATAATCTCTCTCTCCATTGTTCAAAACTGGAGACCTAGCTGGAACACTTCAGTAAAGTCATCCCTGGTCCCTTTGCTGACAATGCATGACAGTTTATGTACCTACGGCTTTCCTTGTTTCTTCTAAGGAGCTATCAGGAAAGAATGCAGGAAGACTGGAGACAACCTAGTGGTTAATAGTCCTTACTGCTCTAGAGAAGACCTGGGTTCAGTTCCCAACACCCACGAGATGACTCACAGCTGTCTGTAACTAGTTACCCATATGATGCACATGCATACATCTAGGCAAACACTCATACACATAGAATCAAAATAAATAAAAAGAATAAGAAATGTACAGCTAGTGAGATTGTTCAGCCAGTAAAAGTGCTGTGCATGAAATCCTGGCTGAGTTCAACACCATAACTCATATAAAGATGGGAAGAAAAAATGAACTTCACAGTTCTCTACAGGGACTTCATGGCAGATGTGCCCACACATATACACAACACGACACACACACACACACACACATCATACAAACATACCACATTTATTCACATACACATACCACATACACATGCACACACACATCATACTCAGCACACACACATGCACACACATCATACACACATAACACATTCATACATATAAGCACATGTACACACACACATCCTACACCACACACACAAATACACACACACAGACATGCACACATACAAATGCACACACACACATCAAAACACACACATAATGTTAAAAGAAGAAATGTAAATCATTAAACAACCTGTTGGTTATTATTTCCCTTAAAGATTTCCACAAGAATTGTATTCTGCTACAGCTGACTTGCTTCAGTGACAAGAATAATGGTTAAGGAAGGCTCCATCAGAAATGGACGACAATTAGATTCTCATTCACAGCCAAATTCAATCGGCTTTGCAAAGTGGTAACCAAACATATTTTTGGTTTTCTTTTTATCTAGACAGAGAGCATTTTGAAAACTGTTTTCACACATCGTTTTCCTGAAACACAGATGCTGTACTGCTGTGCATAGTATCAGTTGCAAACAGCAGACAGCTGACTGGAGGGAGGAAATGTATCTTCTTTCCAACATATTTGTAGTGAAGGCCTGGGAAGAAAGGAAGCAAAGGAAAAAGAAATGTAATTGAAGATTATAGCTCCCAGGCTTGCTGTAAGACTGACATGAAGATATTTGGAGCATTTCAGCAGATGATGGCTATGTGGGAACGTATTGAATTTCAATCCATCTGTCTCATGGAGGAACTATTATCTAAACAAGTTCAGACTGCCAGGGACCTATTTTATTTATACTTTAAATCTAGGGAACACTATCCTTCAGAGCAATGATTCAGGATCCTTCCAGTCTGGTTAATGGACATTCTGTTGCTTTGGCAACCTTAGATCCAAACTCATTTTTTATCTAGGGACCTGTACAGAGGGTATATGTTCTGAAAACAGACAGGACACAAGTCTTCTGTACAATGGGAGATGATTCCACTTATAGAACCCAGAGCAGACATTGAAATGTAGGCTTAGATGAAAGGATGCCTAAATCCATATACAGTATGGGCAGGGACATTTGTTAATTACAGTGGAAATTCACAGAGCTGAATGCTGAAAGAGCCCTGCAAACAACTCAATCAATTTAAAGAAGCAATTTTGTAAATAAGATTTCTCTGTGTTTCTTTCCTAGCTATTCAACTACTGGTATTTAGAAAAACTTACTGAATTACAGTGTTGATTTTGTATCCTGCTACTTAAGTTAAAGTGTTTGTAAGATCTAATAGTTTTATGGTAAAAGAATCAGGATCTTATGTGGTAAGGCTCACGTCATCTACAAATGGGGATAATTTGACGTTTTCCTTTCCTGTTTGTATATTTATTGTTTCTTTCTCTTGCTTTATTGCACTAGCTAAGACTCCAAGTACTGTATTGAGGAGGAGCAGAGAGAATGGGCATTCTTGCCTTGTTCCTAATTAGTGAGAAATGTTTTCAGGTTTTTAGACAATTAGAATAATATTGTTTATAACTTGTCATACACAGCCTTTCTTCTGCTCAAATATATTCCTATTTTCTTTAGAGCCTTTATCATGAATGGCTACTAAACTTTGACAAAGATCATTTCTATATCTATTCAGATAACCATGTCATGTCTGAGCCTGAGCATATGTATAATGCTATATTTATTGACTTGAACATGTTGAACCATCCTGTGTCATTCAGTTTGTAACAATTTAGTTGAAAAATTTGACATGTATATTGAACATGGAAACTAGTATACATTTCTTTCTTTATTGTTGCTCTACTCCATTTGATATCAGGGTCATTCTGTCTTCATAGAATGCCTTTGACAGTGTCACTTTCCTTTTGATCTGTGCGACAGTTTAAGGGACATTATAGTTAGCATTGGTGTGGGATTCAGCAGTGACTCTAACTGGCCCTCTGATTTACTTTACTGTTTGCTTGTTTTGTTTTTATTTTTGTTTTCCATTGCTTTAACTTTGTTGCTTTTTAAGATGTTTTGTCTCATCTTATTTTAATTTTAGTGGGACATATGTACTCAGAAATTTATTCAATTAACAATTTTCCAGTGTTTTTAGAAATATGAGTTTTTAAAGTATTCCTTAATGATACTTTGTATTTCAATGAAATTTTCTGTTACATATAGGGGATTGTTCATCTTATTTCATAAAAGCTTAACAAAATAAATATCTAGTAATAGATCTAACCTACAAAAAAACTCTTAAAACACTGAAGAAAGAAATTGAAGACATCTTTGGAAAGACCTATTGTTGTGGATTGGCAGACAATATTGGAGAGGGGGGGGGGAGTACTGAATGCAGCCTACAGACTCAAATCAATCCTCATTGAAATTTCAATCACA